TTCGGTCCTCTGCTTTCACAGGTAGCGGACTGTGCCCCTTAAATAACTTAATGATTTCTCACATGCTGTTCATTCCATCCTCGTGCGAAGCCCTGAGGCATTCACTCTGTTTGATAATGGGGAAACTGAAACCCAGAGAAATGAAAAGCAGAACCAGTCATGGAGGCACGTGCCTGTGATTCCAGCTTTCAGGAACTGGAGGCAAGAGAATGGGGAATTCCAAGCCAGCCTGGCCTTCATAGCAAGACCCTGACTCAAAAATATTAATATAAATAAGACCCAAGTTTGAAGGGATTTGGACAGTATCATGAAAATGATCTAAAAATTGGTAAAATATTTCTGTAGGTCTTTAGCTCAAAGTTATACTAAAACAACGATAGAGAAGGGGACAATTTTGCCCCAGACACAACAAGGGACCATTTTGGCAGCGGCTGAGGACATTTGACTATAGCAACACTATCTGGAGTGAATACTACTGCCATCTAGTGGTTAGAATCTAGGATTGCGGCAACCCCATAGCAAGGAAGTCAAAGGGTTACTATTGAGAAATCCTATTCAAGGACCATGTGACCATGTTTGACTTGTTGCTGGCTATTCGTTGGGTCTGCAGCATATGAACGTATAGAACACTGGTTTCAGGCCTTCGTCTTCTGTCTTGAAAGCTAACACCCAGCAGTACTAAGTGTTTGGAGTCTTGAGCAATAGGTTCTAGTGGACAACCATGAGTAATGACAATAGTTTGTATGTTGGGGGAAGGAGGGTCTTTTCCTGTAGGTGGAGTTTTCCCGTCTCAGCAGCCGCTCCCAAATTACCACACTGAGGCTTATGTTACTTATAAATGTTTGGCCAATAGCTCAGGCTTATTACTAACTAGTTATTACAACTTAAATTAGCCCATTTCTATTCATCTACATTCTGCCATGTAGCTTGTGGCTTTACCTGCACTCCAGCATGTTCTGCTGCTTCTGCAGCTCCTGTGACCTCCCTGACTCCACCCTTCCTCCTCCCAGCGTCCTCTGTGTCTGACTGTCCCACCTATACTTCCTGCCTGGCTACCGGCCTGTCAGTTTTTTATTAATCAATGAGAGTAATACATATTCACAGTGTACAGACGGATTATTCCACAGCATTTTGGACCTCTCTAAACCACAACTTGTGAGTAGGTATCCTATATCTGGCTTGTTCTTTTCATGGTGCTTGCAATCAAACCCAGACCTTTGTGCGCTATTGAGCTATAACCCCTCAACCTCACCCTCTCTTTATAAAGACAAACACTTGCTGTGCTGCATTTGGGTCTCATCCTTACAGCCTCATGTAACCTTAGTCATTTCTCTAAAGGGCCTTGGTGTAAATACAGTTTTGTTCAGGATGTACTGAGACCTGGGATTTCCTGGAAGGAATTTGGAGGCACAGTTCTGCCCATTATACCTTTCTGATTAATTTTAACACCTGTTGGGCAGGTGGGCCTGAGCTGTATGAAAAGCAGGCTGAGCAAGCCATGGGGAGCAAGCCAGTAGGCAGCAGCCCCCATGGCCTCTGCCTCAGTTCCTGCTTTAGTTCTTACCCTGACTTCCTTGTGTGTCTGTGAGAAGTATGTTTCTCACCTGATGAATGCTGTGCTTTGCAGATGCAGCTGCTGAGCCCACAAAACCACGCATGTTTCTATTATACCACAGAGCTATATGTATGTCAATTCCTTAGCCAACACAAGCACCCTCTGTGGGAGCCCACAGTGACTCCATTTTGTGGCTTGATTCCATCTTGACTCGAGGTCAGAGAGTTCAAGCTTGTCTTTGCCCCTTAAGGCTGGATAACAAGATGTTTGGCCAAAGGCATGGTTACCAGATGCCTTGAGAATTAAAGAGATGTTTACACTTGTTTGTACCCTGAACCATGGTGTCCTTGAGAAAGGGAAGTCTTTTGCCCCACTTGCCTTGAGTATAAAAAGCCTGTGAGAAATAAACTTAGGGCTGCTGTGGTATTTACTCGGAGCCCTCTAGAAGCTATCCTGTGTCTCTGTCTTTTTATTTTCCATCTACATCTCTATTTTTCCTATCTATTATTTCTCAATCCTCACTCCCCTATTCAGGACTGTTCAACAGGTCAGGTGGGACCCGACAACCCTCTAAAGCCAGTAACTCAGGGCCGAGAGTAAAGCTCAGTGCTGGAGCACTTGCCACACGCCTTCAATCCCAGCACTCGGGAGGCCAAGGCAGGCAGATCTCTGTGAGTTTGAGGCCAGCCTGGTCTACAGAGTGAGTTCCAGGACAGCCAGGGCTACATAGTGAGACCTTATCTCAAAAACAAAAACAACAACAAAAAACAAAATAAATAACATGCTATCCCAGCCCATCACCTGCCTTTTCCCTCATCACCCCTCGAATAAATCCCCAAGAAGAGTTTTGTTTTTATAGAAATGAGAACCCTCTGCCAAATGCTGTTTCATAGGGCCCTGGGGCACACTGCTGGGAACCATTTCTAGCAAATAAATCCCAACCTTCTTTGTTTTGGCCTTTGCAAGTTTCATAGTTAGCAATTATTTATTTAAATTAGTCCTGTTTCTTATTTATTCTCAGAAACATTTCATATTGGTTGAATATGAATCAGCTGGGTTGTTGTGGTGGTTTGCTTTGCTTTGGTTTTTCAAGACAGGGCTTCTCTGTGTAGCTTTGGCTGTCCTGGAACTTGCTGTGTAGACTGGCCTCGAACTCACAGAGATCCTCCTGTGAGGGATTAAAGGCATGTGCCACCACAGCCCAGCATGAATCAATTCTATGTTAAGCTCACAGTAGTGTATCAAAGGGCATACCAGCGTCTGGATACCGGCTTGGGTGCTATCAGTCTCCTGGGACACAATGAATCCTGTTCCAAGCTCCTCAGTAAACAAAGATGTGTCCTTGGCAGACAGTAGAGGAGAATACCCTAGAACCTCTCTTATCAATTACCATAAGTAAATGCATACACAGGCTTACAGTTCCCCAGAGAGAAAGTCACCTCCTGCCTGGAAACTGAGCCCACAAGGCTGGGTGTCGGGGTATTGATGGATTCTAATGGCTCCCTAGGGAGTAGGGGTGTGGGGGAGGGGGAGGCAGCAGCAGCGTCAAGTGCACAGACACAGAGTCAGTTGAAGGCAAACAGCAAACTCCTTTATTTAATAACAGGGAAGGCCTTATATACGCTCCTCCCAGCACCCAGTCTGTGTTGCAGTTTGGTGGCATTGCGTGGTTGTCCCTCATTGGCTGGGCATGATCAGGAACTCTGACAGCCCCTGTTGCTAGGGCTTCAGGCAGACTCCAAGTTGGCTCATAAGGAGTACTTTATGTGCATCCCTTGGCAACTGGTCTGAGCCAATTTCCTCGACCCTATGGGCCTGTCCTACTACATCAGGCGAATAAGTAAAAAACACTACAATTGGAGAGGGTGTGGGAGTGTGGAGAGTTAGGAGTTTAATATCCCTTCTAGACTGGAATAGCCCTCACTGGAACCTTCCCATGCCTCCTCATCACAATGTGCCCCTCCCTGGTACCGGCTTCTATGGTTGGGAGATGCTGCCCTGAATGGGTCTGAGTCATGAGGGATCCACCCTTGCTCTGTGAAGGACTTGGAGGAGGCCTTTATGTTGTGTGAGGAACAGCATTCTTCTCTTTGCCACCAGAGCATTCATGTCTGTCCTTTATAAATTACCTAGGCTCAGTCAGTGTACTGCAGCCGCCCAAAATGGACCATGACAGTGGCCAGGAATGTGGCTCTCATTCCTCTACAGAGTATTTGCTTCACTGGATGGGCACCTGATTCCAGCAGAGCCAATTAGAGCTGCAATACTGAAACTAAGGAAACCTCCTTTCTGAGAGCCTTTGGGTCAGAAATTAGGAGGCCTGGGTTCCAGCTCCCCTTCAATCAGGGGTGTCACTTAAAATGTCTGAGCTTCCAATTCCACATCTGAAAATTAGCTGCACATTAAAAAAAAAAAATTGTTACAGTCACTGCAAACCCTCCTTTCCTTTGTGGCCACATGAAGGCCTTCTGTGGGAAATCAGAAGCAATGCTATGCCAAGTCCAACAGCACATGAAGGATGTCATTAACACCTATGCGTTTTTGTCACTCGATACCTCTTGAGACCCTCGAGGCAGAAGACTCCTCTGGCACTGTCTTGACTCCTTGAACCTCAGTGAGTTCTCAACAGGGTCAAGTGACAACCCCGGACAATGGGTAGAGTCCCTCACAAATTGACAAAAGCTGGGAGAGCTGCCAGCAGTGTGATGAACCTGCTGGAGTTGCCGAAATGGCGCTATAAGGAGACCCAATCATGTTCTGACTGCTCCTCATCCAAAGGGCAGCAGGGTACTTCATTCATTATTACCACCGTTGTTTCAGAATCCCATACATGTGTACACTGTGTTTTAATCCAGCTCACCTGCCACTGCCAACTCCCACAGAACCACCCTACCACTTCTCTCTCCCAAGTTCATGCACTTTGGGGGCGGGGGAGCAGGGGACCGGGTCCACTTAATGCTGCCATTATGTGCACTGGTGTAGGACCATCCGTTGGCTCAAGGACAACCTATCGAAGGCCACATCCCAGAAGACCCTTCCTCATCCAGTAGCCATCAGCAGCTGGGCGTGGGGCTACATAAGCCCCTCCTCCACCCAGTCAGCCTGGTACTACTTCTCGTGCTTACGAGATGGGGGATTTGAAATTATCAGGCAGTTGGAGCTGTTAGAACTAAGTTTTTTGAAAGCAAGACTATCTTATTCATCAGCGTATCTTCAGAATCGCCCACTGGCACTCGTCAGTGAATAAACTCGCGGAGGTCAGTGTTTACATATTCTTGTTGCCCAAGAGAGATGCGTTGCAGGTTTGGCACAGAGCCGGCCCTGGGTGCTGGTTAAAAGTACTGCACGGTGCAGTGCTGGGCAGGTCCACCTCCTCACAGCGGCCCTGCGCGCAGGAGCCCGCCCGCGGCGCTGGCAGGGCACGGCCACCAGGGGGCGCGCCACCGAGTCCCCGCGCGGGAGGGCGGAGCGGCCGCAGAGCCGAGCGGTATGTGGGCGCTCGGACGCCGCGCCGCCGTGGGTCTGCTGCCACGGACGGCGTCTGGGGCCTCGGCCTCGGTCGGGATCCCGCGCGGGAGGGAGCCGATCGGAGCGTGCGGCCACCGAGGCCTGCAGGTCACAACCAGCGCGGCCTCCGCCGGCCGCCACTCGGTGAGTACGCGCGCTGCGGGCTCACACTCCCGAGCGCAGGCCGCGCCCGCCCCTAGGCTCGGGGACGCGCGGTGCGCGCATGCGCCGGGCTGCCCTGGGCGGGCGCGCGTTTGCGCGGGCTTCGGTCCTCGGGTGGGAAGGTGGCTGTGGGGATGCGTGCCCTCGGGGATCTGTGCAGTGCTGAAGCTGGTCGGTTCCTTTCCGAAGTTTCTGTAGTTAACACACGTGTGTAGCCAGGCGCGTTTACGACTGCGTGTCCTCCGAGGGTAGCACGCAGAATCGTGGAAGCCTGGGCTTCGGTGGATCGGTTCCCCTTTTCGTGACGTGGGACCAGCGGGGCTTGTGGAGAAGCTTGGAGTACGGTTTTGTTGTTTGTCTCACTCTGTAGCCCTGGCTAGCCTAGAATTGGCTGTGTCCCCCAAGCTGGCTTCATACTTGCGATCCTCCTGCCTCCTCTCGACTGCGGGGATCACAGGTCTACCAGCAGGACCCTAGACTCCAGCTTTTGGGAAAAGACGGGACCTCGGTTCCACGTGCTGACTCCGCGGCTCTGAAGAGCCCTGTGACCTTGGGGGATCCTAGCTCTCTGGGGGCAGGGCTTGCCTTTCGGTACCGGGGAGATTTAAAGGGTAACGCCCACTTTGCGGTTTTGGCGGGAGAGTTAAACTGTTCACAAAGGCCTTAGCACTTCAGATAAGTGCTGGGTTCCTTGAAGATGCAAAGAACAGAATCTGTTTCTCCATGGCTTGAAAAGAGAGCGGCCAAAGCAGTGAGGTTAAGGAAGGCTTCCCAGAGAGGGACGTGATAGATGCCAGAGGAGGGGGCTGGGGGAGCATTCCAGGAAAAGAAGCGCTGTGGAAAAGGTGGAGGCTGCGGGCTAGCACTGTCTGCAGATTCAAACCCAGCCTGGGATACATGAGATCCTGTCTTTAAAAAGATTAAAAACAAAACAGGGCTAGCCGTGTCGCTCAGTGGTGAGGTAGTCACTTAGCGTTCGTTCTGGGTTCATTTCTTAATGAAAGAGAATTTTAAAACAAAGCAAGTAGAAGTGGGACGTATGAGAGAGACAGCTAGAATTTGAAGAGCAGGAGCCCGGGACACCACACCACCCCCACCCCCACCCCCACCCCGACCTCCTACCCCCACCCCCCACCCCCTGCCCTGATTTCTCAAACGCTTTCCCGGATGTTTTCAGCCCTGTTCTGCTTCCCAGCCATGTAATTCTTCCCCTGCCTGGTCCCTGACCGCTGGGCTCCAATTCCAACTGTGCACGTTGGATCTCTCCATCTTTGTGAGCCTGAGCAACTTCCTCTTTGGCGTCTCAGGTTCCTCTCTTGTAAAATACAAGTCCAGTCCACCTTTATCCTCAGTTTCTGTTCTCACTGACTCACTAACACTCCTTGTCCCCAGTTGTCTACCTTGGTGCTCTTGCAGTCATTTTGAAGGCTGCAGAGTGACGAAATGCTCTAGACCCATGGAGGGTGTTCCCAGCGGTGGCCCAACAAGGGCCTTGTTCCGCTTGCTTCCACCGTCTCGGTGTGAGCAAATGTTCAGTCTGTTCAGTGACGTGTGTTCTCACATTTCTGTACTTCTTGGTGATGTTTGAAAGTGGTCCCCAGCCTAGAGCCACAGTGAACAGAGTGAGACTGTGACATCCCCTACAAAGAAACTGTATGTCAGATATGTATGCTTCACTCCAGCATGAGTTATAAGTCTATTGCTTCAAGTTCAATATTAATGAATCAATAATATATTAAATAAAGTGTCCTTAAACAGAAACACAGACCAAACAAGATTATGCATCAACCATTTGATGGTTGTGACCCGGAGACTTGCAGGGACTCAACCTGTGTCCCCTAGGAACAAGTGCAGCAACTTTATAGGACCACCCCCTCTTGACGACGACGATGATGGAGTAGGGCTGGAGAGATGGCTCAGCAGTTAAGGACACTTGCTCTTCTTAGAGAGGACCTGCGTTTGATTCCCAGCACCCATAAAAGGCAGCTTACAACCTTCTCAACTCCAGTGAGAGGAGATGAGATGCCCCCTTCTCCCTCCAAGAGCACCTGCACACACGTGTACACCACAGTCGCTGCCTGCTCAAGAGCAGTAACTATCTCGGACCCTCTGCATGGCAACCAGAGTAGCATTTTGAAGCAGTAATTCTCATCTTGAAAACTTCTTGCCTTACCAGAATGAAGTCCTGATGATTGCTTCATGGGCCCTGTGGCCACCTCAGCCTCACCCCATCACTTCTCTACACACACACACACACACACACACACACACACACACACACCCCTGCCACCTCAGCTAAAACTATACCACTTTTCTCTGGCTCTGCATTCAATCTCATCTGGTCATAATCAACACACATGCCTTTGCCCAGTGCCCACCAGTTCAAGACTAAGAAAAAAATCAACAGGTCACATCCTGCTGGTAGGATCCGTCAGACGCAGCCCGTCAGCTCTTGTTTGGACTTCAGCAGAATTCTGCCTCTTGCTATTTTTTGATGCTTTTTTTTTTAAGTCAAATTCTAGGGGTACTGGGGAGCCACCAGGTCTCCTGAACAGCTTGCAGCGGCTGCAACGCCATGGACAGATGTTCTGTCTGGTTCCACACAGCCGTGGCCACTCGAGGTGCAGCCGGCACAGCTGAGGACCAGATTCTGTCTTATCTCAGTACCTTCAGGGAGCTCCCCGTGTCTCAAGACTGTCCTATCAGATAACACGGGCTTAGCAGAGAGACTGTGAGAAAAACACGAGTGGGTGATGGGGGGCAAATCCTAAGACAGATGCTGTCATGGGCTACTGGTGGATCTCGAAGTGCCAGGCTGTGAATCCTGTATTGCTGGATCGGAATAGACTAAGATGTGGTCACTGATGTCCTTAACTTTGGCTTTTAGAGTCTGAGCCTCCGCTACCTCGATCAGATTCTGAACATCAAGAAGCAGAGTGTCTGTGTGGTACATCTGAGGAACTCGGGAACTTTGGACAACTCAAGGTGAGATGAAGACACCTTCCACCTCGGGCATCTCTCCCTCTCCCTGGCTTCCCATGGAGAGACTGTTTTCTCCCTGGGAACAACGCTTAGTGACATCATTCGTATCACTAAGCATCTGCCATGTTACTTTTAGTGACTAGTGTTTCTGTGTGGATACCCCAGACTCCCTTTAGTTCATCCCTAATGTTGGATATTTATTTTTTTCCCAGAGTTTTGTGATTTCTCCAGCATGGTAATGGGGAGATATCATAGCTGTTATTGCACAAGAAATTACAGATGAAAGCAACAGTATGCAGAGTCAGTGGCCTGCAGGCCTTGCCAGACAGGGCACCCTATCAGAGAGGCATTCCTCTGGTGGGTTGACATCCGAGTTATCAATTGCTATGAGCTGTATTTGCATCCTGGCCTGCAGTAGTTTGTGACAATGGCTCCTGGCAGAAGGTCTCATAACCGACGTGTACCCTTACTGGGGCACAGAAGCCCACAGAAGGAAGATTGTTGCAGCAGTCTATTCTTTCCGTTTGCTTTTGGGGATGGAACGCAGGCCAGTAGGAATGGTACATTCAGATCTAGCTCTGAGCCACTCCCAATGCAGCAATAGTTTATTGTCATAATCAGATGCAATCGAAGTCATCAGAGGTGTTAGCATTCATAGGTTCCTACAGCTGTCACCACTACCTAATTCCGGGAAATGTCCCCTACTCCAGACTCTGCCCTTCATTTGTCATAGGGTTCCTCTGCTGCAGAACCGACTAATCAACTCGTCTCTATGGGTTCATAGCAACCTGCAAGGAGTTGGGGATTTTTGTTTTGTTTTGTTTTGTTGGTTTGTTTTAGACTGCGTTTCTCTGTATAGCCCAGGCTAGTCTTGAACTCACAGTCTTCCTGCCTCAGCTTCAGGAGTGTGTGGAAAGCCCTGCTTGCCCCTCATTCTGTCTTTCATGACATAATCTCTTTTTTAGTTTGTTTATTTTTGTTGTTTTTCAAGACAGCATTTCTCTGTGTAGCCTTGGCTGTCCTAGAACTCACAGAGATCTGCCTGCCTCTGCCTCCTGGATGCTGGGACTAAAGGCGTGTGCCATTTTTTAATCTTCATTTTAAAAACATTAACAAAGTTCATTATCTTTTCACATGCTCACTGGCCATTTGGATATCTTTTATGAAATCTGTACATGTGTTTTAACCCATTTTTTCTGTTGGGTATTCTTTTTATTGATTTGTATTCTGGACGGGTCTAGTTTCATATACGTGCAATACAAGCATTTTTCCCCCACGTCTGTCTTGCCCAACAAAAAATTTAGTAACAAGGGCAATGAAAATAGCAGCCTCAGTGTTCAGCGGAAGTAGACGTGTAAAATAAAGAAAATATGATGAACTAGACACAGTAGTACACACCTGTAATCGCAGCTGCTTGGAAAGCTGAGGCAGGAGGATCATAAATCCCAGGCCAACTACCTAGGAGGACCTTGTCTCAAAGAAAAACAAACAAGGCACCTCATTTTTATATTTTCAAAAATTCCAGATAGTCTAAGAGAACACAGAAAAGACTTACAGGGCAGGTACGGCAGTCGCCTCTGGGGATGGTAGTCAATTGGAAAATGGGCTACTTCTCCCACAGCTGCTTTTTATCAACCTGAAGTCTTTGCTCTGTACACGCTAGAGATTTCCCATCAATTTAAAAATGTGAATGAGTGGTGGTGGCGCATGCCTTTAGTGGCGCATGCCTTTAATCCCAGCCCTCAGGAGGCAGAGCCAGGCGGATCTCTGTGAGTTCGAGGCCAGCCTGGGCTACAGAGTGAGTTCCAGGAAAGGTGCAAAGCTACACAGAGAAACCCTGTCT